AGCAAGTGGCACCAAAAAACGCATCTGTTGGGCGCTGCCCCACTCTGTTGGGCGGCTCCGCCTGTAGTGCTTTGAAGTTCTTTGAGACTTGGCTCTCCCTCTCCAAGTCCATTCGCAACACTGCCACCTAACACCCAGCAGCGCAGGTGATGGGACATTCTGTGCATGGTGACAGGGGGGTCATCCTTGATGAACAAGGGCCACTTTGTGTTACTAGGGCCCAAAACATATGCGTGATGTAGGGATTGGCTTTAAGTTTTCAACCCTCCTATGTTGAGTGCGGCCACTTCTTTGCAATCTTCTGAATGGACCGGTGAACGCTTCCATCGACACCACGCGTCGACAACTATGACTGGCCCCGGAATGACTACCGGAATGCCCAACACCTACCCTACCCCCAAACGTGAACGACAACTCCTCAGAACCTGTGAAGGGAAGGACACCTTCAACCCAGCAAGTCAAAAACAGCAAGAACCGCGCTAGGGTCAACACTGGGTCAAACACACTGGGCCAAGCGCACTGGGTCAACCGCCCTCTTGGCACCACCTCCAACCCTCCGCACCTGCCGTCGGAGGTCGTCCCGCTCGCCCTCGAGGCGTTCGATGACCCGTGCCATGGAGCCCGTGGATTGGAGCTCTTCCACGCTGGGCACCGCAGTGCCCTCCGGGCGCTGGAGGCCTGGTACCGGAGTTGGAGTGGGCGAAGCGGTGAAGAATGCCGCACTTGTGGGGTGAGGCCGAAGGCTGTGCCGGATGTCTGGTGGCAAGAAGGTGCAAGAAGCATCAACAACGCATAACAACTGCGAAAATGATAGAAACTTCTTCCCCCCAAAAAAGGCACCGTGGCGCCACCGGCGTCTTTTGGAAAAGGGGGGAATTGCTCTCCAAGACGCGAGAGAAAGCAGCACCCTGACTGCCGACCACCTCTGAGAGGGCCATCTCCAGAGCTTCTTGATTGTCAGGAGGTAGCCGCTCACGCATTAAGCGCATCTCACGTTCCACCTTCTGCATCTCTGAATGCTGGGCCTCGATCTCGATGGCCAGCTGTTCATTGCCTGAGCCAGCGATGTAAGCATATGTGACCCAAACCCCGTGACGTGGCTTGTGATCCCAATAAAGGTAACATTATATATATATATACACAGTATTGATGTAGACCCTGTAGACTGTGGCATGAATGCCGGCAGGGCACGCTGCTTCAAGTCTAAACATCTCGATTGAAGCCGCTGCTTCTCTTGCACCATCAGAAGCCGGGCTTGTTGAGCTTTCAGATGTTCGTCCACCTCACCTTGATGCTCCGCCGTCTTCCCCCGCACCATCGCTTCCATTGCGGCAATCCTGCGATGCCGAAGGAGGCGGTTCACGAGATGAACAAATCGGCCAGCGCGACCCGTTTCATCCTCTGTCCGGTTTCCGCAGATGTGCGCATGCTATCGCATGTTTGTCCGAGTGTTTGTGGAGGCTACCCACCGCAACTAGCGGCCCTAGGCCTCATGTTTGCCTCCTTCCGGTCATCGACTTTGGAGAGGAAGGAGTTCCTTGGAAACAGGGACAGCCAGAACATGACCAACAAATCCAGGCAATCAAAGTGACATTCAGCACAGGGAACTGCATAGAATCCCGAAAGAAAGCAATAAAGTGCAATATTATAATCTGGCTCTTTACACGCCAGGGTTTGCTCAATCGCTTCAGGACAGGACTTGGACTTGGGTGGATTTGCTCCGATTTCATGCCAATTTCCCCCTCCGAAAGTGAAGGACCACCTTGCTAACCCCGATTGGATCGCGGAAAAAACGGGCGCTGCCGTCACTCCCGTGGACTCCAAGCGTCCCTTCCAGTCGTTGCAGTTGGCTTTGCAACTGCCGACATCGCTCCTCAGCTCTCAGCACCTCGTCACGCAAAAAGCCCGCCTCGCCCTGGTCCCGCGTGGCTTTGGCCTCGAGTGAGGGGGGGCCGGTACGACCCTGGTCAAGAGTGGGCTGTCATAGGCATCCCTGTAGAATCTTTGTGAGCTGTGCAAGTAGAAAATGGTGAGATGTGCCAGTCTACAACGAATGATGAGAACATGTCACAAAAAGTCCAACAAGCAACGTTTGGTAGAGTTCAAGCCTTTTGTGGACCACGACGAACATCATGTCTCCCTCCAAACAGGCAACGACAAAAACGGCGCAGAGCGGCCACGTGCCTGTTGGATCTCCAGCTTCAGAGCGGCACGTTGCGCTTCGTAGGCGTGGATCTCTTCCTTCAAATGACCTGGACCGCTGGGCCCCGACAGCTGAGAGGAGCGGCGTTTTCACTCTGAGGGCGGCCGTTCCTCTGGGCGTTTGCCTGTTCTCCCGAAGCACCGCGGTCAGCTGTTCGGACGATGGTCGGTCATCGAGGTCGGTCTTTCGCCCTTTGTTCCGTTCGTAGCGTCCTCTTGCTCCCAGTAGTAAGGGCAGGAGCTACTAGTTAGTATAGCGTCCATTTTTTGTAAACTTTGTAAACATACAGGTATAGTTCTTGATTCATCATTCACCCCCTGCATGACGAGGTTTTACAATCCAATGAAATAGGAGCATTAGTAACAGAACTGGGAACTGTGGTAGTGCGCATGTTGTGCATGTTCTACCTATTTCAATTGTACTATATATCTTGTGCTACTAATCAAGGCTTGAAAACATTCTAGTTGAAAGAAGCAGTGGCAACGGAAAAGTAATACAAAATCCAATCCAAGATGCCTCCTTGTTCCATTCGGCTCATTTCCACACCCAACTCTTCTTGAAGCTTGTTTATTAATGCCCCCTTTTCATTGAGCCTCTCTTCTCGAACTCGATCCTCCACATCGGCACTTCCGGGACCGCGGCTCCGGGCAGCTCGAATCTGCTGGAGGTCTTCTTCCAGCTTCGCCCCCTGCGGTGCTTCACCACCGCTTTGGCGCCGTTGGTCGCGCGCGAAAGCCGCTTGGCGCTTTACTTCGAAAGCTGTGGATGCTGGTGGAAAGGTCATGGACCGAGGTGTCATGTCAATGCTACCACAGGGAAGTCAAGTGGTAGGAACCTAATCCCTTCCACAATCAACATATAAACCGACGCCCGGAGCCCCGAATGCGGTTTACTAGGATGTTTGAAACATTGGCCTCCCCCAATCCAGCGCACCATAGCGCACCCAATTCAAGACTCCAAAAAAGTTGGATCATGCTGGACCTTAGATCAATACATATCCATCCCAATTGAGTAGCCAGTGCAAGGGCATTACTACTAGTAACAAGAAGCTACTAGTAGCTCCTGGCATTACTAGTAGTAATGCCCTTGTTACTAACATCTGCCTCCAGTTGCAGCTGCGAGATCATCTGCTCCTGCGCCTCCGGGGTCAATACCGACACCGCCCGCGACAGCTTCGGCAGGTGTGGCGCATGGGGCGCGGCCGGCACCGGCGTCGGCGGCCGGGGCGGCCCGGGGGTCCCGGGCGTTGGTGGTGGTAGAGGCCGCATCTTGCTGCGGGAAAAGGCGGCGGGAAAAGCCCCAACTGGGCTTTAGAACGGGCGCAACATATGGCAATCCTGCTGCTTTTAGTTACCATGTTTCTCTCTGTTGGGAAAAGCATCGTCCCAAACACGGCATGTCTCTTGTGATCCGCGTACCATGTCCGCATTTGTGTGAGGAAAGGTTGGACCATTTTGGAATGCCAAAACTAGGTTAACCGGTCAACCCAAAACTCTGTTGGATGTCTCGACCCCATCACCGTCGAGATAAGTAGTTTTTGAGGTTTTGACTTTGCAAGGACAATTCATGTAAGAACTGCACAAAAGTAAAAGCGGAACGGTGGCCACCCCCCGAAAATCCCTCAGCCGGGATATCAGCTGGCTGAAGTCTTTTTGGATCACTGGGCATCACTGGGCGCCCATCATACCTGAAGCTTCAGCACAGGTGAAACCTAGTAGTATGACAAGTAGTCATGCCGATCATTTACATCCCTCCTGCAGCAAGCCGCTCGACCGAGGTGTGAATGATAGCAGTCAGACTCTGAGAGGGATGCCTCAGAGCAAGTGCCTGGAATCTGCCAACACGAACTTGGAGCCCCTCACATGACAGGCGAACAACTCTCTTTCTGTGCACATTGGACTCAATGGTCAATGCCCAAATGCATAATTGGCCCATTGGCTTTACAATGCTGAACATGGATCAACAGTTTGTAGGGTCTTGAGTTACCTTTCTGAAACTCTCGTCGTTGAATCAAAGGCACATCACCCCTCTTCTGGGATAAGCAAGACCTCTTGTGACTTGTGTATATATGTGATTATATGTTATGTATATAGTTAATTGATGCATTGTGGCTGCCTCAGCTCACTTGGTAGTATGCATGATTAGCAGCTTCAGGGCCGCATCAGCTGATTGATCTGGAGACTGCAGGAATCTGCGGAATGCTGTTCTTGGCACCACCATCTGCCAGCCTGAACCCTCTAGTACAACTCAAGTGAGGCGTAGTTAGCTGGTGGTTCACAGCACTTGTGATCCTTTCCTTCATGATCGGCATCCGAATCAGTGGGTGACCAATCCCAACTAGATCAAAACCCTTGGGCAAAAGCCAATGGTTCCTGGTTGGCCAACAAATCCACCAATCATTGATTTTCCTCCAAATCATCTCTACGCCATATCTTTAAAATATGATACTGTAGCGAATTCCAACGGGAACATCCCCCACTTCTCCAGTCTTTTGTTTTTGTTCCACTTCCGGTCCTCTCGCCAGTCCTCTCGGTCAACAAGTTCTCCAGCTTCTGCTGAATCCGCTGCACGGAGATTTGCAGCTGCGCCACGTCGTAGCTCCGCGCCAGGCCTGGGGGAGCGGGGCAAGGAGCCGCAACGAGTGGGTCAATCCACGGATCTCAAAGGATCCAGGCGTTTGGAGCCGTAGCAACAAGGGGTGAAGGGTTTTTCCGGATTTCAGGTGGTGAAAAGGCTCTAAGTGTTTTGATCATCAGTCCAAGTGGAACCGAAATGATTGAAATTGATTGAGTTGAGTTCAATCGGAGTTTGTTCGCATCTTGGGTGGCTGAGTTGTGGAGAATAAACACATGGAGAATAAACATATATATATATTTATTAATATATAATAAGCCTTAAGTAAGCCTAAAGCGGTCAGCTGACATTGCGACAGGCCTTTGATTCGCATGGTCCCATCCTCGAAGTCTTTCAAAGAGATCTCACCCTCGCCTCAGATGCATCGAGGATGGGAAGCTACTCAGTTTGGTGTTCAAAGGCGGCTGTTCCAAACTGAGGTCAAGATCGGTCTGAAATGATGAGAAAATGGAGGTGGTGGAAAATGCAATGGTATACATGGGCACATCCATCTCAAACATTTCACAGTAACCACACTGCCTCAACGCTATGTATGTGCATACATGTGTTTAGGTGTGTGTGTGTGTGTGTCCAAAACACCTGCAGCACCCCCAGAGCTAACCCCGAAGAGCAGGAGAAAACCATGGATTCTAGTATCATCCAGCGCGGAGTGAAACACTCTTGCACATCAATCAACATGGGTTCCTTGCTTTCGGTGGCGCTCTGAGGTTGGTTCCTTGATCCAACATCTTGAAGAGGCCCCAAAGATCATTGGTCTCGATCTCCAGCTGCGTCAGCCAAGCTTGCAACTTCGGCGCCTAACACCCGGGTCGACCACTTTGGGGTGTGTCTTCGTCGGCCGGGTGGCACTCTTGGCGGTTGAACTCAAGCTGGGCTAAAGGAAAATGGGGAACCCATGGGGAACCCCTCAACATCCTCAACCCTCAACTATTTCATATCGCCGATTTACCTCGCGGCACCCTGAGAATTCACTCGTGGTTTCGGCCATGGCCCTCTACAGCCCAGTGGTCTTGGGGTTCCATGCTGTTTCATGTTAATCTGCAGGGGAGGAAGGTCGTAAGCTTTTTGTAAAAAAAGGTCCGGTCTACATAACATCTTGTTCAGGACAGGAGAAATCTTTGGTTCCTCCAGGTCCACAGTGGACCGCGGTGCGTTCTCGGCGACGTTTTGTTCGTCGCCTTCAGCAGTCGCTTGAACTCATGTGCGTCGATCTTGCCATCGCCTGACGTATCCACCTGTCCTTAGAGTGGACAAGGGCGAAAAAAGAGCGCGGCTCCAAGTCCCCCAAACAGGCGCTCCTGAGGAAAGAAAGCAAATCATCATATCTGCCGCGCTTCCCGTTCCATAGGTCAAAAAAGTAGATCTGTTTTTGCATGCTTTCGCGAAATAAGCTCAACTTCCTACACCCTTTTGTAACAGAACAAAAACGAAAAAAACAATAAACATACAAAGTTACAAAGTGCCTTTCTGGACATGTCTCTGAAGAGAGAGTTGACCTTTCGTCGATAGGCTTGCTCAGCCTTCTTCTTCTCCAACAAAATGAATTCCTCGTCTGCCTGGGCCACCTGTGTCCAGCGAAAGAGGAAACACGTGTGGAGGACGTCAGCCCCACGAGCCTTCATGGTGGATTGGACGAAGACGGCGTTAACCTCAGAGCAGATGCGATGGCCTCCAACCTACTAGCAATGGCCTCCACCCTGGTAATTAAGAGATGTAGATCGGTGAGCGTTGCGCTCCACCGCAAAACAAGATTTGAACCTTCGCGCATTCTGTTTTGAAAAAAGGTGAAGGAGTGCCGTCGAGAAGGGAGCTAGTTCGCCTTTCAGCTCCCTTGAAGCGCTCTTCGCCGACGTCCACACCCTCTGAGCTCGCCGCAACATTCAAGACCTGTGAGGGATGCCAAGTTGGACAAGTCACAAAAGGCAAAGCTCGGATTGAAAATGATTGCTACGTGTGTGCTCTCTCAATTCTCTCTTTATCTGTTGATGGTTTTATCCTCTGACACCCTACGAGTGTTGCATTGAAGCTCATATAGATTCATGGTGTGTGTTTTTTCGGTTGTCTTCTTGCCTGCTCACCTGTCCAAAAACAGCTGACAAAGCCAAGGTCAACTCGATAATTGAGGACAAGCGTCTGCGAATCCAACAAAACACCTGAAGCAAGCAAGGGTGGCTTGAAAAGGAACGCTCGTCCAGCAACATATGAAGCACCTGTTGCACAAGGGGCGCCAACACATACCTAGCAGGACCTAGCACCTCGGGCCCCAGATGGAAGCCGTGCACTTGTCTGCTGGACTAGCCAGCTTAGGATCTCCAAGGTGAAGCGTAAAGCAATTCAAGCCAAAGGAGCCCTTGACCAGTCCTCACCCATTCCCAAGGTCTCAAGATTGCGAGCAACACCCTCCTGCTGTTGAGGTGGAACGAGATTGTTATCAAAAATCATCAAATATCTCTCCCTCTCACTGACGCAACCAGTTGAAAGCCAGGAATGCCACCAAATCCAAACAAAAAACAACAAAACGTCGCAAATTCCGGCCTATCGACCCTCTCCACGTGAATCCAGCACCAAATTCCCACAAACCGATCACACCTGTAGATGACGAAGACTAAAGCGTACCACTCGCTCACATTGTCGATCAGCACCCGGCAGGGCGGAGCCCAATTTGCAAAAAGGACCTGTCTTCGCCAGAGCAACAGAACTTCACACACAAGCACAAGAACATCGGTGCAAGACTCATCCATGTGCACTTGAGGCTAAAGACTGGATGTACTGTGCAAGAGAAATCGGATTGAACCTGGACTCCAGCAAGCAACACTCGCCTCAAACATTGTCAGTAAGGTCTTCGTAAAGGATCCATAGTATCTAAAAACGGCTTCCCGATTCTTGATATCCACGGTTGGATCCACCAAATATTCACTGACCTGCAAGCATCACAAGACGGAGCACTAGAAGATCCGCAGATCATGAAATCAAGACTGCTGGCCTCAAAACTAATAGCGATGGCCTCCCTAATGGCGATGGCCTCCAACCTAATAGCAATGGCCTCCAACCTAGTAGCGATGGCCTCCACCCTAATAGCGATGGCCTCCACATGTTTTATCATGTTTTCATATGTGTTCAAGACTACTTGGCTCGAAGGCATCGAGCAAATGCTTGGCAAAGCTTTTGGTAGCTTTCTATGTGACTGGGGAGCGTGCCAAATAGCTAATGCTCATACCAGCGCTGATCTGAATGATCATTAAAAGAAACCTTGGCCCACACAGCCCACATATGATCAGGCATGTGCTTTGATGAACGTTGCTTGCAATTGCATGAGTTGCCTGCGACTGAATGAGTTTTTTCACAGTGGATATGTCCTTGCGGTCCGGAACCGCATGTTTCATTCAAAGGGTTCACCCAGAGCAAAACAAGACACTAATCCACTAGGTCAGGCACTATGGTCCTACGGACAGTCGCGTCCCCGAGGACGCTTGCACACCAAGCGGCAAAGACCAAAAGAGTATTTTCACCTCAGCCAAAAGGCTGTGCATCTTTCAAGTGGGCCCGGTTGGTAATCCTGGTTCAGCGATTCAGTTCAGACCTCTGGCAAAACAAAACCGGTTCTTTCGGGAGTTGTGGGGTCGAGGCCTCGTTCACACAAATTGTTCCCCTACTGTGCTTGGTACCCATGTGTTTTTGATCCATAAGACGTCTTATGGTGGCAACTTGGCTGTAGGAGAATCGCATGTCTGGCTTGTTGTGGAACATGACATGATGGGTCTAAAGAGTGCTCAACTGCCACTCCCTCTGCTTCACCGGGGCGGAAAGTACTTGACTCTCTCCAAGAGGCACTGGCTGCAATGCACTTCCTAGGGCCGAAGATGTAGGGGCTGAGAGAGCAATCTTCTAGTATGTAGGACCTGTAGCCTGTAGGACCTGTAGGAGGTATGTTTTTTCGCATACTTACACAATGACTTCATCATCATGATTAGATGATCTGATATGTGGTCTTGGCCTTTGGGTGAGTCTGGATTAGGCTAACGATGTTTCTCCTCACATTCAGATCATTGCGCCCGATGTCGTTGACCCTGACTCAGCCCCCCAGCAAAAGCAACTGCAAGGATTCCAGGACTTGCGACATGCGGACAACACGAATCGCTCGTAGAAGCCTAGGCTCGAGGATTGCTCGAGACCGACCGACTCCAAGTTCCAGCGGCCGCCCAGCTGAGATGAACATTAAAACAAAAGTCACGAGCAGTGATGTCAGTGACACGTGGTTTTGCTTTTCTTGGAAGACTCCATCAACAATGATTGTTTCTGGGAACTTGGCTGGGGTGCTGGGGATACCCTGCACCTGCATTAGTCAAAGAGTCAAAGGATGCTTAAAGGGTCATTTATGGTCAATTGATGAGCATCCATCACTTGCTTCGTGAGGTTTCACTCTGAAAGCACCCACGTGTCTGTCGGTTTTCGTTCCGCCGGCTGCCATGCTGCTTCCCCAAGCGGAGCATGCGCAGGAAAGTGGGGTTGATGGGCAGGCCGGCAGCAAACAACTCAATCCATGAGCTGCAAACCTGGGATCTGTCGCTGCATCGCAGGAAAAAGAAAACCTTAAGAGATTCCACCCGCGCTGTTTCTAGGTATCCGTAGATTGGTTGCCTTGCGCAGGGAAAGGAGGATTTGACCATCTGAACAAGTCATCCTAGAAACCACCAGAAAATCCAGCCAGTTCAAGAAGTACTTGAAGAACGTGAGTCGCAGGTAGAACTGGCGGATCATCATCTCAAGCCTTAGATCGATAACAGCCGACGGCTGCGGCATCTTCACAAAACGTTTTTTTCTTGTGCTCCGTCATGTCATGAGTAGCAGGGCGATGATGCCTCTTGCTACTATAGTAGCTTCTCGCTACTAGTAGTAATGGCCTCCACCCTACTAGCGATGGCCTCCACCAAGGAGCGATGGCATCCACCCTAGTAGTTTCTTGCTACTAGTAGTAATATGTAATAATGCCCTTCTTGTTACTGGTAGCGATGCCCTTGTTACTCATGCAACTTTGGTGCGTAAACAGGGCAGCGAAGGTGATGTCGCAAATGAAGAAAACGGTATCCGCATAGGGCCACGCCTGGGCAGTTTCACTGAACGAATACATAGTGATACCAAAACTGAAAAATCTCAGGGTGAGGACAGACACACCCAAACTGGCCCAAACTCAACAAACGACGTTTGGCTTTGCCCCGCTTTGGCTCGCTCTGGCTCGCTTTGACGCCTGAAAGGAGCCGCGCCGATCCCGCGCCTGGTCTGGCGGAGTGCTATACCTTTCGATACCAATGTTGTACCCGTTTTGCAGCCCCAGGAATTGCAGCTGCATTGCCATTACACCTGCGTCGGAACCAAGAGCACAGGCTGAAAACTCAATCACAGCCGCATGTAATTGATTGAGTTGTGTGACAATTCCGGTGTAACATCTAGCTTCTGTTGGCTTTCGGATGCGGATGCATCACTTGAGACAAAGCGATTTCTTGCCATGAAGCGTTTTTCCGAACTCTCCAGATTGATCAGATTGATTGAGCATATCTGGTGCCTGTGGTTCCTACGATGTTCGCCCACGATGTTTCGCCAAGCTGCAAATGTTAATGAAAAGAAGAATGGCCACCATTGACTCAAAGGAACCTCAGTCGGCGTTCAGAGGCCATCGAATGTCACACATGGCCGCTGGTCTCTTGCCGGCGTTTATCATCACACAGTAAGTCAGTAGCCTCGTTGCATCATCGTGGGATTGGCTGGCAAAGTAGAAAGGACATCGAAGTGTTGATTCCCTCATCTTCAGACAAATGCTTTCAGACTACTAGGGAAAAAGGTGCCAAGAGACTACTGAGGAAAAAGGCCTGTATCCGACTCATCCGCGCGACCTGGAGTCAAGGAACTCACATGTTTCGGACCGCTCATATTTTCAGGGTTGCAACCACTTTGTTGTCACCTACTATCACTATTGGCTATGTTGATCTGTGACGCTGCTTGGCGAACGCAGTGTGACAACATGTGACACTGGCACCCCAATTGCTCAACGCCCGGCTCAAAGACCAAAGAAAGTCCCATCTCCACCATCGACACCTTCACCATGCTTCAGGACGGCCCCAATTGCACCCGGCCTCTTGCTCATTCGGCTGCTCGTCGCTGGAGTCGGAGTCCAGGTCCAAGGGATTAGACCCTGGCGGGCGGAGTGAGTGGGCCCCCAAGCACGGCCAAGATCGCTAAGTACCAAGCCGTCGGTGACTTTCTTGGGAACAATGCAAGCATGCTCGAGCATGCTGATGCTTTGGTAGGGTTGGGTAGGTAACAGAACCTTGGGAAGGTCTGGGATGGTCTGAGTAAATAAGATCAGGTAGGCTTAGGTAGGATTGTGTAGCCTGTGGTCTTGTCCCGCACTCTGCAGGTTTCGCAATACCTTTCTTGCCTTTTTGATGGGAATCTGTCTGGACCCTTGGTATCCCTTGGTACCTAGGTGGTATTTGATCTTTTTCATCCGGCTCAGGTCTTTGGCACGATTCTCGCCCAAGGGCGAGTGTGTGTGCAGTGGTTCGTGATGAGCCTTCTTGAGCCTAGTGGTTCTCCCTTCATCCATCCAGTTCGTCCCATGTTATGTCATGTCTTGTCATGTCGTTTCATTTCATGGCCACTTTAGCGATGAATCTGATTAATTAGTAGATTTATGTGTCTCCTCTATAGGCTTTATAAATTTATACGGTGATGGGGAGTGTTACATTGGGGAAGTGTTACATTGAGGTTCTAGTTATTTGTCCGTTGATCTGCAGAGTCCGGCTGTTCCATTTCTCCACTCCGATGGCTGGAGCCATCGGGAGTCCACCGCACCTAGTCACTGCACATCGAGTGGTGCGGCAGAAGGAACTGCCAAGTCGTTCAAACCACCCCGTGAAAAAATGCATCGGACATGAAGCAAAGAGAACCCACCAAACAATCCTGACCCATTGTACCCCTCCGCCTGTCGACATGAATGATGCCTTTGACGCGCGGCTGGCCGTAGCGATGTCGAAGGTCTTGGCAGATCGTATTGGGGACTCTGCAGGCTCCACAACCAACTGCTCGTCATGAACCACTTCCTGCCAGGCGAACTGGGCCATCGAGAAGGTGAGAAGGTGTGGTGGAACATACACCCCAAGCACTATCCCAAGGCTAGTTCTGCAGGATGGCCAACCCTCAAACATATCTGTCAAATTGCTACTGGGAGCAAAGGGCATCGCTACTGGGAGCAAAGAAGCTACTAGGGGCTCCTGGCCTTACTACTAGGAGCAAGGACGCTACGAACAGAGCTTTTTGACCGAGCGACGGTGACGCCGGGGCCCTTTCAAGATCAGGCTGATCAGGCTAGCTTAAAGCTGACGCCCTGATCTCCCTTAAAGCTTGACCTCTAGGCCAATTCAGTGAGAGGATTGCAAGCACCTAGGTGCCAAAGCCTGGCCATGTAGGCAAAATAAAGGAGTTTGTGTATCTGACATATGATTAAAACTGTTGAAGGCTGCCCTGCCTATTGTTGGGTTAGTGCCCAGCATTTAGCTGCCCGAAGGTGGGACACCACAAGTCACGCCACTTGCTGACCCCAAGTGTCACCACTACAAGTCACCGGTCGCTCCTCGATTGGTGGAGACAGGCCCAAAATCTCTGGCCTTGGTCGAACAACTCGCCATTTGGCGAGTCACCAGGATGAACCAAACAAAAGCGCTCAACTTGACTATGGTAGACAAATGTGGATGTAGTTCTTCAGTCAGTGGTGGGGGAGTTGTTCTTTTGTGGCGTCTGTGAATATGTAATACAATGGAAGTGAGATCAGAAAGGATGAGAACATGAGAATCGTGGCCGTGTTGAGGCTTATTATCCACTCCATACCTCACTTTCGTCAGCGGGAAGGGCGGTCGATAAAGACCACCAAGCATGAGAAGCAAATCTAACATTGACTCCAACATTCAACATACTTCAACTGTGTCTCAAAAAAAGGAAGCCATGAAGAAAGACGACTAAAACGGCCGCCACCAAAAAGGAACAAACTGAAAAGCGGCACATGAACATGAACCTTATATAATACATCTTAATACTGTTTATATACAGAAAGGGGCCTCAGTTGCAACACTAGAGGCCTCATTTGCTTTCCCACTCTCTTTACATGTGGCATATATATATATATATTATATATACACATAAATGATCCAAGAAATGATTGGCTCATATTGGCTCGACAGCGGGTCCCTCTCAATGCTGTGACCGCGCGGCGGCGCCAGGTTCTCCTGGGAGTTTCCATGTGACAACCTGAAGCGATTTTCAGGTGTTTGCGTGGTCTGAGGGTGCGGTGATTGTGACACAATCCCCATGGCACCAATTCGCTTTTGCCAAAATTGCTTTGAATCACTTTTACATTAGTAGTAACAAGTGCATCGCTTCGAGTAACAAGGGCCTTACTAGTAGTAACAAGGTTCGCTACTAGTAACAAGTGCATCGCTTCAAGTAACCAGTGCCTTACTAGTAGTAACAAGGTTCGCTACTAGTAACAAGTGCATCGCTTCTAGTAACAAGTGCCTTACTAGTAGTAACAAGGTTCGCTACTAGTAACAAGTGCATCGCTTCTAGTAACCAGTGTCCTACTAGTAGTAACAAGGACGCTACCGGTTCAACAGTCCTTTGTCTCAACGTGCCCAGCAGTGCTGGGCGACTGAACAGCGCGCATCGAGGCGCTGCGTCGCCAACACCGTGCTTTTTCGCATTGAAGTGCTGCTCAGTGACAGGGGCGACCCACTCGGTATGGACTGCCGTAGTTGCTCTATTTCCGTTTGAAGCAGGTCCACCTGAGGTGAAAGAGCTCGTCTGCAGGTCCACCGTCCCTCAAGTGCAGATCCACCCAATTCATCTTATATCTTCTTCTATATATTATATATTCTTCTTTTTCTTCTTCTCTCAATCTCTAACATTCAATCATTTGTATGGTTGCTTGCTGCGTTTTCTTTTCATGGTCAAACACATCTTGTTCTCTCCCTTCGTTGTCTTCCATCTCTCAGAACCTGGTCACCAGCCTCAAATCTTAGGCCCCGAATCCCCGCCCCCACACTCTGCTACGGTGAACGCAGGGATGGTTCGTCAACTTGGCTCTACTCGGAACCACCGGTTTTTCCCAGAAAAAGCATCCCACCAGCTGCGCTGACTCACCAGGATTCACCAAATGATTCAAGCCCTTCAAGGCTGACATGTGAACCTTCTCGGAATTGGCTCTGGTCAAATCACGACCTGGTTATGCATTGGCCCTGCCCACCCTGCCTCCTGGGTATGAACTGCTACCAGCTCCTCAATCAGGCGCTGGAAGCTGCGCAGTGGCGGAAGCCTTCGGTCTTTGGGCACCAGAGTGAGGATGTCCTCTTGTGAGGACACCATGCTAGGCCAAGCAAAAATGCCTGGGCTCTCCAAGGGCCTTGGCAAAGCACACAATGCCAAGGGATCGGAGAGAAGCTGCCGACCCCCAAGGTTGTTCAATTAGTCATGCACCCTCTAGTGGCCCAGCTGATTGAACAATACAAGAATAGATCAGAATACTAGAGATGTTGATTAATGAAGGATGCAAATGGGTCCAATGCCGGGACGTTTGACATTACTCATTTCATCGCCTCTTACATACCCGGACCGAGTTCCACAAGTAGGGAGGTTCCGCTACAATCCAATTGGAAGCTGAGAACCATTGGATGATAAACATAGCCTTCCAAGAACCTATGTTCAGGCAGCACAAC